AATTAAAGTTAGGTAGTCTAACGGTTGCTTGTATTAAGTTACACATTTACTCGAGTAGATATAATCAATACAGTTAGTTATAAACGCTAAAGAAATATATATATATTATATTATCTGATAAGATTAGATACTATATATTCTGAATTATAAAAGTAAGCATTAGACTGCCCTTATAAATATATAGAATAGATTATAAAATTATACATTTACTCTAATAGATATATTCAACTTGAATATAATCATAACCGCTAACGATATATATATATCATCTGATGAGATTAGATATTAGATATTCTAGAGTGTGATAGTTATAAATGATCAAGAAAAGTAAGCATTAGGCCATTGGCACCATTCTGAGGTTTCCTCGTCTCGTAGAGACTCTGATCGCAAATTACTAGTATAGTCTGTACATAAGCTAAACTATACCAAATACATAGTTTTCAGATCTCCGGAAATGGTTCTTCCGACCCGAATCTGAAGATTACACATCCAGTTAGATCAGAAATGGAGTAAACAGGCTTCCTCATCAAAATATTCAAAACCTCCAAATCAACAACTTCAATAGCACAGTATTCAACAACAACAATAGCTATAGATGTTTTGATTTCAGATTCATGATCAGCGACATCGAGTTAATTGAATACAAATTTTTTGGATACACAAAATATATTGAATTTCCATTGTTGGGATGAACCCATGTCATGCGCCTCATGTGGGGAAGTGTTGAGGTTTTGATATATGACTAATGAGGTTTTATAAATACACTACAAGATTATCTCACTTAGGCCTGAAATCTATAAAAGCACCTATGTATAGCCACTATCCCCACCTCTCACCACCTTCACACAGACCATACTAGTAATTTGCGGTCAGAGTCTCTACGAGACGAGGAAACCTCAGAATGCATTGGCACCCTTATACGAGTGATATACATAGAATAGGCCATTATCATCACAAGTTACAAGGCATATAAAAACATAATAGATATTTGTCTTTAATTGAGACTCGTGGTCTCTAAATGTAAATTGTATTGGTTTGTTAAAATACATAGGTAAATATGTAAAGAGCTATGCTATTTGAAATGACCCTCTTCTTGCTGGACCTCTAAAGCAGTGCTTGATATCATTTTCGCATAATGGACTCCCCCCCTTTCGCTCAACCCTCAAAAGTTCAATGAAGCAATAATCTCTAAGAACGCCAGTGCTGGATTATTTCAGGAGGATCTGCCCATTAATTTCGCCTCGACGATTGGACCCAAGTCTGAACTGAATGTAAAGTTTCATTATTACGGGTTTAGCCCAAAGGATATCAAGGATATAAATAATACTCCAGATTTACTTTAACGAAATGAATGAGCGTGTCGATGCAAATTGCCTGAGGTCAGTGATTGATTAGGTCAGTCGTATTTCCAATTTTGTTTATGTGGTTTGTTGGTCGCAATGGGCGAAAGCTGATGTAGAGCAAGCCTGTCGTTAGATCCCATCAATGATTATAGAGAAAGAGAGTATGGTGGGTTCGCACTGAATCATCATCCAGCAGTAACTACCTGCTGTCTCTTCGCGGGTGCACGTCTACCGTCCTATAAAAAGTCAGCAATGCTCTTATCTATCTCAGAATAGCCTGATCAAAAACGAGAGTCTCCGCCTTGAACCTTGGGCCAGATCCCAGACCAGGGATTGGCTTCAACATACATCGGTTGCGGTACGCTTCTTTTTCTTTTGAGAACGAGTTGGCTTGACCTCGCCTTCGGCAAAGACATCATCTGGAAGGTCGCAGCTACAAAAGCATAAGTCAGCCATTCTCACCATATCAACGAGGAAAGGGACACATACTTTCGAGTGTGAATGACAGATAAAGTATTTAGCTCCTCATTGTACTTATCCCAGCCTCTGCAAATTCTCTTAAATTCATCCACACACCATGCAAGATCGAGTGATTTGGCTCCTAATATGGTTAGCAGCTGGGCCTCAAAAGATATCATAGAAGCTCGTAATTAGTATGCATATCATAACACCATAACCGACAGTGGAGTGGCACATAACAGTGAAGACGATAGTCCCGCACTTACCTTCGCTCAGCTCGAGGCCGATATAAAATGTTGTTGTATAAACCATTGTTTCCTTCTTGTCGGCTTCTGGTACATCTCCATTCTGGTCCTTGACCGCAATTCCCAAACTGGGATCATGGGATGGGTCGGTAGTTACTGTGGGGATTTCGTAAATTTGGTATTGATGTCCGCCCTCCTTTACCGAATCAATTTCATCCTCCGAGCTGCATTTGTGAACTCGTTCGAAGCCCTTATTGAATGGATGTGCTACCGCGATCGAATCATGAACTTCTAGGTTAGTTACCAAAATCCTAACTTTCGATTCGACCAAACCAGCCCATATAAGTTGAGCTTCCTTTGTAGTACTGGCGGAGATGACGGAGAGGTAGTATTTGTAGCCTTGGGTAAAAAATGTGTGCTTTTCGAACAACTCCTTCCAAGGTGCCTTGCCCATCATAATTCTGTCCACAATATTTCCTCCACGAGCAAGTTCCCGACAGATGATTTCTTTGGTCGAGTTTGTTATGTTATGAGTAGCGCACATAGATGGGTATGAAGGAGTAATAATAGGCATGAGATGGAAACTATCAGATTTGTAAACCTATCTCAAAGTTAGCTAAACACTGAGCGCATTGAGGGAGCAAAACTTACTCTCGGATTCCAGACGCGAACATTGAGTCTGCCACCTTTAATTTGCTGCAGTAAGACTGGTTGCGGCCACTGCCACTTTTCCATAATGCGGAAAAATTTGAGAACGATTGTAGACGCGGTTGCTTTTGGATACAACTGACATACTCTAGCCACTAGCATGGCCCAGGCGACTCCTCCAGGAAAACCCATAATGTTAGCATAGATAGCCCGTCTCTGCGCCCAAAGCTTAATGCCTCTCAAAGCACTTCTAAATACTCCCTTTTCCGGTACCAGATCCAGGATATCGTCGGTGACTCGAGTTCCATTAAGAGAGCGTAGGCCAGCTTCATCCAAACCCGTCAATATATTATCGTCCTTTAAGGTTAGGGTCCTTGGAACTTGCGCAAGAGTATCAATGCTTGCAAAGATCAAATCGATGCTGATGCCTGAATATTCAAACTTAATAATTGGAACGAAGGCATCAGGAACAGGTGTGAGTTCTTCGATAGATCCCTTGGGGGCCAGTTCGACCAATAGATCTGGGAACATTTCGAAATAATCCTCTCGGGAAACATTCTTAGGCACGACAACCAGCGTATCGATATCAGAACCAGGCCCATAAACACCAAGTCGAAAACTACCATATGTAAAGATTCTACCACCAGCAGCATTGATGTCATTCTCTGGTAAACCTTGCCTTCTGCAAATTCGCTTTACAAATTCTTCAGTTATGTTTTGTAGGGATGCAAGGACGACGGTTCTGCGCAAAAAGAAAAGATGTCAGTAACGTCACGGACAGAAATACAGCAAAGCTTTCCAGCTCTTGAATATGCAGAAGGTAAAGAGATAGTGATCGCAGTCACAGTTCCAGTGGCATACCTTTTGTCAGTATCAGCACGACTTTCGAAATTATTCTCTCGTGTCAATTCTTCGATCAGCGCATCGGTTGCTTGCTTCTCAGCATCTGTTGGAAGCGTAGTTGATAAAGGCGGAGTGATACCCAATTGTTTGGAAGCTGGAGCCGCCATTTTGACAAAGATAGCGAGATCAAAGGCTTTGGGTTGGATTTCGAAGCTGTCGAGATGGAGAGGCAAAAATGAATGTTGGTATCAATGTTTATTGTTGTTTTGTTTTGTTCTGAAGAAGATATAAAGACAAACATCCGCGCGACCATAAATTGCTCTGCAATCAATCGTGCATAAGCGAATATTTATTTTGAGCTCAACCTTCAACTTTAAAGCTTCCCTTCCTCTCTGACCCGTGCTCTCCTACCACATCTTGAGGAAGGAGCTGAAACCTCAAGAAACTCAATATCATTCACTCGTTTTGTAATCTTAAGATTTTATGAGTAATTCTCAAACACTCACTCTTTTTTGACAAGGAAATATTCATGACGAGATCAAAAAGACAATATGGCTGATCTTAGTAACGCTTGGGAGGGCAACGAGGAAACTCAGAATGATCCTGATGAGAAGAGAGTTCTTTTCCAAACTCTGGATTCTTTTTAGTAAGGCTATCTATCTCTATCTGATCGTCCCTTTTAGTCTAAGACTAGGGGACCAGCCGGAATCTTGGCACCCTTTTCATGGGAATATCAAGCGAGTGCTGTTTGTGTCACGTTAGGGGGGACTTTCCGTTTACTTTACTAACATACATACTACTAGCCAGTACCAAAAGACAGCTCACTACAACACCACGCATCTCAGAAGACAAGCATTCTACGCCTTACCCCGAGCTCACTGGGAACTTTTGGCATCTCCACCTATCAACTATCTGGATACCTTAATAGCTGTCGACGACGCCATAGACCACAATGCCGAATTATCAGAAGCCATCTTATCAGCAGGCCTCCGATCTTTCAACCTGCCCAATCCCTCTCCAAGCTCCGACCCCAATGTCAGATCTACGGATGACTTCCGAGGTACGGCTACCTCTGGCGATCTCGAAAAGGCCCGGAGTACTATCCGTCAAATGTACCGAGACTGGTCATCAGAAGGAGCCGAAGAACGTAAAGCTTCCTATGGACGCGTGATCCTAGCTCTTGAAGACGAGCGACTCATATCTCCACCTCTGAACGGCAACATGCGCGTCCTAGTCCCCGGTGCAGGTCTCGGCCGTCTAGTATTCGATCTCTGTATGCAAGGATTTGACGTTGAAGGCAATGAGATTAGTTACCATCAACTTGTAGCTAGTGCATACATTCTCAATCTTTGTCCCCAGAAAGAAAGCCACACTATTCACCCATGGGTACATTCCTTCTCTAATCACAAAACCCGAAATAATCAACTCAAATCCGTCAAAATCCCAGATGTCCATCCAGGAAACGCACTTCTCTCCAATCCGCAAGCAGGAAAAATGAGTATGAGCGCATCAGATTTCCTTCTCTTGTACGGTGACGAAGAACGCGCCGAATCTTTCGACGCAGTAGCCACCGTATTTTTCCTCGACACAGCTCCAAACATCATCCGATATCTCGAAGTCATTCGCAACTGTTTAAAACCCGGCGGATTATTGGTAAACATGGGACCACTCCTCTGGCATTTCGAAAACAACCCCCCTGGCTCCTCGAACTCTCCTTCCCAAAAACAAACCGGCAACCAAACCCAAGATCAAGGTATAGCCGACCCTGGAAACATCGAACTCACCAACTCGGAAGTTCTTCTTCTTCTCCCGAAGCTAGGTTTTACGGTCGTCACTTCCTCCACTGAATATCTAGCCGCGCCTTATATTCAAGACCCGGATTCTATGCTTCAAAATACTTACTCGGCTAGTTTTTGGATGGCGAGTAAAAGTGAGGATGTAGCTGGGGTTGATGGGAGTTATGGACATGTATATTAAAATGATAGAGGGTTTAACGAGAGGAAGAATAAGGAAGCGAAAGCTAAGAACAAGGAATCCGGTGTATACATTTAGAGAGAAGACTTCATAAATGAGAGGGGAGTCATGACAATTGAAGAAGTATGTATGAGCAATGGCTTAGATAGATGCATTCGCTATAGATTATCAAATAAATATCCAAAATAAAGTCCCAAGACAACATCAGTTTTACCTCACTTCCTACTCTACATTATCCATCTTTCCCATCTCACATCTTTACAGCTTTACATCTTTCCACTCTACACTCTACACTCTACACTCTACACTCTACACTCTACACTCTACACTCTACTCCATTCCTCCATTCCTCCATTCCATCCCCGTTATGAATATCTAGCAGAATCTACGACTAAGTAGGTAGGTATTACTCGTAGATATCAGGTAATTAGTTATTAGGACATAATCTGAGTGATATTTAATATAAGTATATATTTATCTATATCTATATCTACGAGTATATATATATATAATACAGAGACAAACACTAATCGATAGATATATATATAGGCTATACTCGTACCTGAACACAGTATACGAATAGCACACAAAAAAGAAATATAAAAAGGCAAAAATAGAATAAATAAAGATATACTCGAGTATATAATAGTCTACTCTTATAGAAGTATACGAGTACAAGTACGAGTATATCTACGAGTATTGTATTATAAGAAAAAGAAAGGAAAGAAAAGAAAAGAGAAGGATATAATTCTATTCTGTACGGATGGATGTATAGATGGATATAAGAATGTTTATATGAGTAGAATACTAGTTTGTGTAGTTGATGGATGATGGATTATAGATTATGGATTATGGATTGTTGTTACCGTGAGGTGAATATGAGAATGAGGTGAATGAATGTGAGTGAGAATATGACATTGTAAAGGAGTAAGTAGGGTATAGGGTGTATAGTGCACTCGAGTAGTGTAGGGTATAGAATAGATCTAGAGCAATGAAGTAGGACCAGCAGGAGCCATCCATCCATCACTAACTACAACGACCAGTACCTTCCTTCATATCAAATTCATTCCAGCCGACTTGTCTACTCTCTAATTCTCTACTCATTAACCAGTTTGTGCTTATATATACCTAATACGTATCTCTACCAAGTAGGTATCGGCTTCGTGAATTGCCAATATTGGTGGAAGATGCTATCTAGCTACAGTACAACGAGGAAGTCCAGAAAAAAAGTACATTTCAGTGTCAGATCTAGTCTATCACTAGGTAGGTAGGTACACCTTGTAAATCTTACTATCTAGTATCTATAGCTATAGCTATAGCTATAGTTTATGATTGTGAGTATAAATAGTATAAATAGTATAATATTATAATAAGCCTTTAATTATCTGTGTATCTACTCGAGTAGGTATCCATCTACTTGTATATATAACCAAATATTTATCAAATTACTCGAGTATATCATATCGCATCATATATATCATATCATACATAGTATACACAGCATACCTACGCATACATATCAAATCAAACAACATCAAATCAAACACCACCAATTCAAATTCGCATTTACCCTTCCCTTCCCAAACTAATTCTATCTTTTTTTTTCCATCTACGTCCATATCCATGTTCATCTCATCTCATCTCATCTCATCTCATCACATCACGTCTCCAGATCAATTTGCATAGGTATGCACATATAATTTCATCCATTTATTCATCCATAATTTCATCCATCCATGCTTTCATCCATTAATCCATTCATCCATTCATTCTTTCTACATAACTCATTAATCCCATCTCATCTCATCCATCACATCTCATTAATCCCATCCCATCCCATCTCATTAATCCCTTCCATCCTACCTCATCTCAACCCACCCTATTCCCAGCAAGAAAGGGGAATATAAACCAAACCCAAACCTAAACAAAAACCAAAGAACAAAATCCTCCCAAAAATAGAAAATATATATGTATCCAATCTAGTCAAGTCCCAATTCTCGCCTCTCCTCCTTTACTCAGGCTTCTTTCTCTTTATTTTTCCCCCGTGCCCGCCCATCAAGTTCTCCTCACAACTAGTTACCTATTTGCGCTTACTAGTGACTCACTGACTCTCCCACTCTTCTCCTCTCCTCTCTTCTTATCGAATCTCTCCTTATCCATCCCATTCTATATCCATACTTCATTCTTTCCGCGTCCGTCGGATATATCATACCATATCTCAACCTTTATTTTCCTCTCTAGTCTGGTCTAGTTTGCTTTATGCACACCATCCCCAGCCCCAACCCCCTACCCCTTACTCCCCACCTTCCTCCCACTCACCCTCGTCACCCCACTCCCACTCCCCCTCTCACTCCACATTTTCCTATCTCTCCTACTCTCCCCAAGTCTACTTGGTACTGGACTATGACCTCTTTCCCTCTCCTTATATTCATATCCTCTCCCATGCCATCTTTCTCCTTTTCCTTTTCCTTCTCTTCCCTCTCCCTCTTCCCCACGAAAAGAAGCCATATCTCTATCCATTTCCCTTTCCCTCTCCCTATCCCTCTCCCTATCCTCCTCATACCCACTATCCCTCTCCTTCTCCACCCTACTCCTCTCCCTCTCCCTCTCCCTATCAACTCTACTCCTCTCTCTATTCCTATCCCTACCTCCACCACCACCACCAACCCTACTCCTCCCACCCCTTCCACTCAAAACCGTACTCTCCCCCACCTCACTCCTCTCCCACGTATCAATCGTTCTCGTCGTACTCCTCGCTCTCGCCACCCTCGATTTTGGCGCTCCAATCCTACTTTTACTTTTGGTCCTCGTCCTCGTCTCCGTCCTCTCCCCTTCCCTCTGTGTTAACACCGTACTTTCCCCCACATCACTTCGCTCCCAACTATCCACACTCCTCGGAATACTCAATTCTCTTTCCCTCTCCTCTCTCCCCCTCGATTTATCCCTCTCAGCCCCCATAAATACCGTACTCGCACCAACATCACTCCTCTCCCACGTATCGATAGTTCTGGCCGTACTTCTTTCCCTCCCCCTCTCCCTCTCCCGCGTTCTCTCACCCCCTCCCAATTTACGATGGGTTCGCTCGTCAGCACTGTCATGTTCCTCAAACACAACAATTTCATCATGTTCCGGATGTTGGATTTCCACCCTCGGGATCGATCTTGGTTGATGTCTCCTTCCACTATCCCTATCCCTCTCTTTCCTTTCCTTCTCTTCATATTCATCCACAACCGGTACAATCCTAATTCTCGAATTCGTCGCATTCCCATGCACCCCGACCCCTAAACCCCTCATATCCCTCTCCAACTCCTCATCACTCGGATCCCCCACCACCCTACTCCCACCCCCAACCTCCAGACCCCCCAATCCCCCTCCAAACCCCTCTCCAAACCCTCCTCCAAACCCCCTCCGTCTACCATCCTTCCTTCTCTCCCCATTATAACTCGACAGACCATGCAACTTTTCCAACTTCTCATCTGGTTCCATTTCCTCACCAATAACCGTGACCGGTGCACTCCCATAACTAACCACCTCATCTCTTCCCACTTTACTTCTCCTCCTTCCATATTCGCCATCTACTGCCGTATCACCTCCTAGTAACAAATCATCTGCCGTCATATGATTCTTTTCCGACATGGCTCTTGTGGACGTTCGATGCGATCTTCTCTTTTTCTTTTTGCGTCGACGATGCATGAGTGATTCTTGGTATTTAACGCGGCCTATTGATGGTGTAAAATTTAACAATCAGCAAATTGGTCTAATGAGATGGTGGTTGGAGACGGACGACGTCTCCTCATTACATCATCATTTCATCTAAAGATGGTAGATATGTGACGTGATGTGGTAAAATTATTAGGAGTTAGGTATAAAAAAAAATGCTCTCCACGAGAGCTCATTAAAACTTTGTCGTCATCAAACAAATATGAAGATTTGGAAAAGAACCCCCGAAAATGAGAAGCAAACTTCAACGCATCCCCTCACTCAAACTTCAAATTAGATCATCAGACGGAAACTAGCCCTCAATAAATCAAACGCTTATGAATAGTACATTACTTCATGCATCACTTCCACGTCTCGCATCAATTTCGGCGGTGAGTATTGCTCTACGATCATCCGCATCCGCCTCATCAACAACCTTGTGAAACATACCCGTACCTTTATTCAATAGGAGCAATTTCCTCTCATATGGGCCGAGATTCTCTTCTATGACGGTTTGAATGACTGGTGCGTTCTTTTCCGGCCCATCGTATTCCCATACCCATCTCAAGTCGCTGGTACGTTCATCGTCTAGAGCCGCTGGAGCAGTTGGACCCCATGTGGCAGTTGGTGAGATAGGATCAGTGATTTTGATTCGAATTTGATCTAGACGCCATGGTCCTTTCTTGAGTAATGCTGGGCAATAATACTTTGTCATATCTTCTTCTCCAAGTCCTCCGAGATCAAGTCGAATTCTGACGCTTGAGTGAATACGTTCATTAGTATGTGTCATTGGTACTCCAATTGAGATACCTGTATCTGGATCTAAACGCTGATAAAGACCAGGAGTTCTAGTCTGTTTACCTGCGAGGGTCCACTAGTAAAAATCAGTCTACTTGCGATCCTACGAATAACGTGGATAAAATTAGACAATGACTAGAATTAAGTGTACTCACAATTCCGGTGTCTGAGTTATAAATTTTACCGAGAGCCCATGGACGAACTGGGTGGTGTTTTTCGTATACGGCCGGCGTTGCCCATTCATTAATCGGCCTCGAGAACCTAAAGATAGAAGTTGAAGGAGGTGGGAGGGTTTCGTAGTAGTGGACGCTCTTTTTAAATATCGTGTCAATAGCATCGTCATGAAAAGCAATCCCAACAGAAGCAAGCTGATCCATCATCCAGGCCAAAGTAATGTTCGCAATTTCCTGATCATCATAACCTCCTCCAACATTTGCATGACTTCCAGGAAACCAAACTTGTCGTAGATCAGTAGTGTCATCCTCATAATCTCTTATCTCCCATACTGCAGGACTAAACGGTCTTCTATGTTCATCGAGTGCTAAAGCTTGGAAAGCATGTTTGATGTAACCGGAAAGGTTTGTATCGTGAAACTTGTACTCCTTGGTAGAGTGTGGAAGTCCAAGTTTTGCAAGTAGCGCAATATTTGGAATTCCCAAGGATCCTACAGTATCCCACACAGCAACTGCATGAATTCGAATTTTGACTCCATTCGGATCGTGAATTCTGGTTAAACCTTCTTCTTCCAGTTTCTTCTTGTACTCATCACTGTCCTTTGGCTTGTTGGGAAATGGTAGTTCCGGAAAGATGTCTTTGTAATCGGGATTTCTGAAATTTTCCTGGTCTTTGAATACCGCATAGAAGCTTGTCATACCATGTCGAGTGAGTAGTCCAATATCTGAAATCATCCCTGCAACACTTCTGGCAGTGAAGGCTCCACGAGAGAAACCCACAAGAATAATTTCATCGCCGGGAGTATAATTGGCGGCAATGAAACTGTAAACTTCACGAATGTTCTTGTGTATGTCAGTACATAACCGAACTCGAAGCAAAATAAAGCTTACCTCAGAAATACCGGTGCCAAGCATGCCTCCACTGAGGGTATCCATCATACTACTGCCGGTACCAACACCGGAATGATAGTAAATGATTTGATGAGTTCCATCTTGAGCATATCTTCTTAGAGCTCTCGAGAGACGAGTCACATTACTTGGAGTCTATGAAGGGGTAGAATTAGTGGACGAACCTCGCTTGATTGGCCAAAAAGTTGAGTTGGCGGTGAAGGGGGTGATAATCTTCCGACCAGAAACAAACCCCAACCTCCAGTTTGGTTTGATGGAAAATATAGCAAGGTATTGTGTAACTCACCTGCAATGTACCAGTTGGTTTGTAAGGAATAAGTGTTGGTTTGGTGAATCCATCATCACTAAAAATTTATAGTCAGTATTTTGATCACATGGCCTGACCCAGAGTGAAGGAAAACTGTTAGTAAGATCTTACCTATCCATCCATGTTCCATCACAACATAGAATTATGCGTTTAGGATAAAGATGTTTTTGACCTTCGAGTTCATCCATCTTGTTCTGTGTAACTTAATATCGGCGAACAGAATATAAGTCTTCTCGGCAGAAATGAAGGACCCCAAAAATTATGATTCTGTTGTAACCTTAGTGAAATGAAACCCGAAGGACAGATAGAGAAGATTGAATTCATACCTGTAGTTTGGAAAGAATATATATATTGATTGATAGTAGAAAATGTGTCAAAGGATATATGATCTGAAAGCTCTTCTTGAATTGAATGGTAAATGGGTAATGAAGAATGCTTCGTATCAAACTCTTGAGTTCCTAGAAACTAGATGAGAGGATTGAAAGCATACAATTTATACCAAAAGTAGATGGAGTAAGCCTCCTTTTCCTTTTCCTTCTCTACCCCCTCTATCCCGAGGCTGATCGTCCGTAGGTATTATATTGGAATCGATCAGTAAGAATTCGCTTGATGCAGCAAAATGTATCACAACTGATTTTCAGCCATCTCTCAAGAACGTTGAAGTGACACTCATCACAAATATGCGCCGTTCAGCACTGATTTGGGGTACTTTTCAAGCCTCCAACATCATTTTCATGAAGGTTGTAGCATGTAATAAGTAATAAGAAAATCAATAATGCCGTTTTGGATACTTTTTGGGTTGATCAAGGTGGATGTTGAGCTGAAGGGTTAGCAATTTTCTATGTGATGTGATGTGCTGGATGGCAAACGTAAACATGATCTGCCAATCTCACCTACCGCCTACCGTGCGTGCCAGCCAGCCTTACAAATGATTTCATCAAGGATCATGAAATTTTGAGGAATTTGATTTGTTACGCCAGTTTTGATGAATTTTGCCATGTCAGAGGACATTTGATTGGATGAATAACATAAAAAAAGTCCATTTTTGTGTATCTGCATTGTGGACCCAAGGTGGCTTTACCTTTCTTTGCATGAACAGTGCGTTGCGACGGTTTCTTCACCGTAGTTTCGTGCCGTGACTTTAACTTAACTACTTGGCGCCGATGTGATAAAATCGAGAATGAGGGGAGGGTTAAGATATTTGGCTTGCGATGTGAGGGAGGTTGTGGTGTGGTGTGGCGTGGTATGGTATGGTGAACTAGTAATCACTACTAGAGATCATTAGTTCTCATTTGAACCCTCTGCAAATCAAAGTCCAAGATATCTTATACCCTAGTGGATGCATCAAGGTTGATCCTGATCTTCTCCAGATGCTGTACAATACTCGAGACTCGAGAACTCGAGTACTGGATTAGATATCCCGGATACCATCCATCGGAAATGTTTTACAACGCAAGGAATCGACCAAATTTGTGTGACTTCACATGGAATGTGATTCCCGGTATCACATCTTTTCAATCATTGGAGAACAATTCCACGAAAGCGGCACGGCTAGGCACATGAACCCCGCCTTCATCACTTCATCGGGTCATTTGCAGTAAGATGAGACATGAGAGGCTTTTTGTGCTACGAGATACACGGGAACTTTCTAACTCGAGTAAAGAACTTCTGTGTTACCCATTCATAAGACAAACAACGATGAATATATACATGTATGAAGTATCATCATGAACTTTCAATATGTCTGTCAAGCAGTCGACAGATCTATTGACCCCAGTTGATAGCTTTTACGCCCGCAATGGACTTGTTGAAGAAGATAAACATACTTGTTACGAATTCGTTGAAAATGCATTTCCAGGGAAGAAGATCGAGGAGCCTGCATGTCAAGGATATTGCTCGCTGACGATCTTCGTGGGAGAGGATATCATTGTTCAATTCCGACCTAGTCAATACAAATTAGATCTTCAGACAATTCATGCTGCGCGAGAAGTATACGGGATATTTGCACCTCAAACTACTTATATTACCACTCTCCCGAAGTCCGGATTATTGGTATATTCGATGAACCGATTACCGGGCATTTCATATAAGGATTTCCGAGCGAGCAACTCATCTCTGGCTAAGAGTACCACGGCTCGAGCAATTTTATGCAAAGACTTTGCCGCATTCCTGGCTATAGGATGGCATCGAAAAGATGGTACATCTCTTCCTCTTGGTATTGTGGGATCATCACTCCTTTCTCGTCTTGAATTACTATGCAGAGATCTACCCAAACGATTCCAACACACAGCAAAACGCATCCTCAAGAATATACAGCATGTTGAAAGTCTTCCATGGGTACTCACTCATGGCGATATAACTCCAAGCAATATAATGATTAACCCACTTACGCACCACCTCGTCGGGCTCGTCGATTGGGCTGAAGCCGAATCTCTACCTTTTGGGGTTTGTTTCTATGGACTTGAAGAAATCCTCGGCGAAATATCTCCTACTGGTTTTCACTACCATCCCAATGCGTCATATATGAGGACCATCTTCTGGACCGAATTAACCGCTCGAATTCCAGAGTTGAAACGGGATTATTTGATGAAAGGAGTAAAACTTGCGAGGGATTTGGGGGTATTGTTATGGCATGGTATTGCATGGGACGATGGGGCCATCAATCGAGTTGTGGATGAGGATAGAGATGAGGATAGGGATGAGATAAGGAAATTAGATGCTTTTCTGGATGTGGAGGACAATGTATTGGCTGTTTCTACCCATGGACCGGAGATTTCCTCGAAACTTTGATGAGAGGCAGGACCATTTACTCGACTGTTGATCCAGCAAAAGAGTAGAAGAATTGGACGACAAATTACTTCACGCCAACACTTTTCACCCACGTCACCTGTTCTTCCGATCGCGTTGACAAGGCGATACATAGCTTTCATTTGAAGATTATATTCTCCGGATATACCAAGAAGACAACACATCACTCTGTTTCTTACATCCCATCCCACGTTCTATTCCTCTCGACCTTTCTCATGGTATAAAAAACACTAATGCCGCCACGCCTCACCCCTCTTGTTATTTAACGACAGATAACCCTATTGTTACCATCCCTTCTTACGGACAGATGAAACCATAAAATTGCGGCAACACGTTCAAGTTTCCCTTCGCCTTCTCACATTGCCCCTTTACCTGTTTACTTCACCTCGTCTCACTATCATCAACACTCTTCTCCGTTACACTTCCCTACAACAACTACGAGTATTCATATTCATACCACACTTCCGACTCAACCTCATCGTTTTTTACCTACATATATATCAAAGTCCTTTCCTATAATCTTTGCTGTTTTCATTATTATCTTCATTATCTTTATTATCTTTATCATCTTCATTATCTTTATCTTTATCATTGTCTTCATGATTATTATCTTCTTCGTTCTTATTCTTATTCTTATTCTTATTTTCATTCTTATTCTCATTCCCACTTCTTATCTATACATACATATATATACGCTCCCCTCCCTCTCTTCTCTCTCTAATTCTTCTTTTCTATATTCTTCTCATTTTCCCGTTCCTTTCCTTTCCTTTCCTTTCCTTTCCTTCTCTCTCTTTGTACTATTTCTTCTTTCATGCTTCAATTCAACTTATCATTCTACTCAATTAATTAAAAATCAGAACTTGTAGCTTTCAAATTACTATTTTCATATTTCAGACATACTTTTAGTTTATTAAATACCTGTACTCGAGTTGTTTGAGTTTCAATTGTATTGTGAAGATATGTATAAAGATATGATAATGAATAGATATCTAATTTCATATATATATACCCACCCCAGAATCCATCCATCCATCCATACATCCCAAAAACATCCCCCACCCCCCCAAAAATCAAAGCCTAGGCCTCCTCAACCACTCCCCCCCATCCACCACCAAATTCGCCCCATTCACATGACTACCGGCCCGACTGGCCAAAAAAACCACAATCCCCGCGATATCCTCCGGAACCCCAAGTCTCCCATTGGGACTCACGTCTGCTAATTTTTGAGCACCGCCCACACTTTCAACATACGCACTGGCCATTTTCGAAGGAAAGAATCCTGGGGAAATGCTGTTGCAGAGGATGTGTCGGGGACCGAGTTCGATGGCCAGATTTTTGGTGAGGTGGATGGAGGCGGCTTTGGAGGTCGAGTAGCTGATTGTGGAGGTGGGGTTTGGGGGGGAAATGGTGAGGCCGGCGATGGACTGGTGGGAAGGGAGGGGGAGAAGGTTAGTGGGGGGTTTGGGGAGGGGGGTGTTGGGGTGAGAGGAGAGGGGTGGGGGTGGAAGGGTGGAAGGGTGGAAGGGATATGGATATGGAGAACGAAAGATAAAACAATATAAGGGTGTCAAATTGGGGAATGCGAAATTGTAAAATGGATTATGCTTACTGCGGTCACTATTACTCGAGATGGATCTTGAAGCGTAGCCGACTTTTGAAGGAGAGGTGCAAATCTTAATTTCCATTAGCAATCCTTCCAGCACGCACCGAATCTCAAAGCAACCAAACCAGGGCTAGGCTAGCTAGCGACATGAAAATGAAAAATACACACAATCTCACAGTTCCAAAAACACTCTTCACATTTAAATTCATGACCTTCGCAAAAGCCTCATCGGAATGCGTATCAAAGGCTTCTCCCCACGTAACTCCCGCATTCGCGAATAGGATATCGATATGGTCGGTGGTTTTGGATACTTCGGAGACCAGATGCTGGATTCCTTGGATGGTGGATATGTCGGCGGGGATGGAAATGGCTTTTGCGTTGGGAGAGAGGTTGGGGAGGGAATTGAGGGTGTGGACTGCGGAGGCGCAGGCAGAGGCTTTGCGGGAGGTTATGTAGACGTGGGTGCAGCCGGCTTGGAGGAGGCTGGGAGGGGGATGGGGGGTTAGTGGGAAGGTGAGGAGATGAGGGGGGGAGGGAGTAGGGGGGTTGGGGGTTGGGGATTGGGGATTGGGGATTGAAGGGAGGGAAAGGAAGAAAGAAAGAAAGAAGGATGTAGAATGTAGAATGTAGAATGTAGATGGTGGCATGAACTTCCACTCCCTCCCAGTGAAAATAGTACCGGTACTGTACTCATCAACCTAAAAACCCAAACTCACCCCGACGCAGCATGCAAACCCAAACCTCTCGACCCACCCGTAACCACGGCCACCTTTCCTGTCAGCGAGAAAAGTGATGGGAAATCCTTGAGTTCTGTATCGTATGTGGACATCTTGCTTGCTTGTTTACTTGTGATCTCTTACGGTATCAAGACGGGGAGGGAATACTACTGTTGAATATACTCGAGTAGATCATCTAAATCCTGAGATTGGGATTGAGATTGAGATTGAGATTGAAATGATGTTATTTGGAATTCTAGGGAAGTTTTAGGTAATAGTGCGAGTATGATTGTTTGATATACTTCTCGGCACAAGCAAGCAAAAGCATAAGCGGAGAACCGAAATCTGGGGGAGATGCCGAGGTTGCGGTTGCGGTTGCGCTAGAGTTGCGATAAGGGTTACAGTTTGAGGTTGCGATAAGACCATTTTCGTTTTTTTGTGAATGAGAATACGAAATAAATACTGAGTACTAGGAACTCCAGCATCTTTTGAAAAGTATACCAGTTCATGGTGGATTATCTGGGTCTGGCGAATCCTCTTCGACGTAAATGTAACTCTGGAAGTTTCGAGAGTTTGTCACATGATTTGAAATCGGTGATGCTACGAGTAGATCGAAACTTTATGAATTTGGATTAGCATCGAATATAAATCTTGTAAATAAGCTTTTACAAGGTAAATGTTGAGATCTTCTGTGGCCGCCCTGGAAATCTACCTAATGGCTTGGCTGGACAACTAATAAGCCTTTTTCCATGTTCAACGCACTGGCAAGTTGCAAGTGAGTATGAAATACATAGCAAAACACGATGAGGAATTATACCTTATCCACTTTATCTCCAACAAACGGTGTACCTAGTCATCACATGACACACACACCGTGACTTTGTCCCCAGCCTTGAAGTCCCGGGCATGTTTCGGTATTTACCTGACTCGAGTGGCATTTTCCTCAATTCATTAATTCTTCAAATGATGATGATGATCCTTGTTCTATTGCCTGTTCGAGATGAACGACTGTGCTTTGAGGGTCATGAATGCTCTCGGATTCACGGATTGACGGCTATCAGGTTTAGCGCCGGTACTGGTTATGGATTAATTAGAAGATTTGTGTATTGAGGAACCTTCATCTGACTGATCTCCGACATAACATGAATTTTTAGTCTACTATACTATAATGACTTACTCGTATATTAATTCGTGCTGTTGGGCTGGGATATGATTTCTGCTATCCAGATCAGTTTCTAGTTCTTAGTGATAATATTGGTGATGAGTATCGGTATTGATGGGATATTTTCACAAAATAGATACTGTACAGCCAATCATGCAAGTAGAGACTTGAGCACATCTCAATCTAGAATTCGACACTATGCAATGCAAGCAGCATGCTTGACTAGGATATTCTGGCATTTAGCATGCCGCATCAACAATCATGTCGCCAGAAATCCCGCAACTCGGGTAGCTAAGCATATACTCCACAATGACAGGAATGTCCTGGGTTTTTCTAGTTCCTGAGTTGCGGACTTTCTGAAGTCAAGCTCAAATATAATAAAGGGTATCGTTGAGGTTATATCGAAGGCCAGGACACACGAACAAGCAGCTAGATAGAGTGATAATACTCCGAGATAGATTAATTTCTCACCAAAAGATACATCGGAAATCAGGGTATATATGTTCCGCTTGATTAGATGTTTTAGATGAATAATTGTATTGATGTTGACCCCGCGATTTATTCCGGGATAGGAGTTTAAGTCCGAATATAATAAATTTCTCCCCGACTTTATTATTCAACCCCGATCTCGCACAGCCAAAAGTATCTTGGTTATACTCAAGCTAACACCCGATTAGACTCTAAGTTGATGATGACCAAATGCATTTACGCAGAGTGCGTGTGGAGCATATCATACACCGAGGCATATGGTCAAACTTGAGGCTACTCTTTGAGGTGATCTTCATATCCAAAGATAGTCTACTTTGAGTAAGAGCGAGGTTTTATGACCAATACTGTATATATTTTACGGTATATAATTAATAGGATGGGAATTTACTGAAATAGACAAAATCTAAAGGCGGCGTTAATATCCCATGAAACCTGATGAAATAAAGGTGAGTTATGCGCACGGTCTAAAATACTTTTCAAAGCGGCACTGCCTCACCTAGCGGGACTTCTTATCCATTAATCCTAGCCGGAGGCTCCGTTGTAGGTAACGATTACTTTACCTCTCTCATCTGTATACTGTAAGGTTATACTTCAACATCGATTCCTCATACTCAATTATACTTAATTTACCAAATATCAATCGGTCACTCGAACTCTTCCACAACTACTCGAGTTATATCTCATCACTCGCCCTAATTCCTACATCGACGTCATCCGAATCTATCGAATATCGAGGTCTGACTTTTCGACAAATCGCGATTGCAAGATACTTGGTTGAATGCATGGTGAACTTGCGGAACTGCTCGGAAAGTTGGGGTTTTCAAATTAATGAGAAGCGGTGTTGTACAGGCGGGTTAGGGGGCTTTGAACGAATGAATGTATATTGGTTCTGTGAGACGTTGTACAGCAAACCAAAAGTTCAAAGAAGGGTTTCACAGAGATGATGCCCTGGGATACATCAGACCCAAATTATCAGGGCCCCAATTATCAGGACCCCAATTATCAAGCGCAGCATGCCTCTGGTTACCAGAATGCAAATAACCCCAATCAAATATTGGCACAAAATTCCCCCCTACATGATGTATTAGGAACGCCTAACCTTAACGATTTCGACTTTACGTTCGGATTTGGAGGGATTGTAGTAACCCCAGGTGAGCTGAAGCCAGATGCCACTTCAGATCCATTCAACCTAGCGACTTCCATCGAACATCGAAATTCCATATCATCTATACCTTCCACGCTTCAAATGAGACATGACAGTATTTCTGGACCTGCGGCGCGAAATCATAGTTTTAGTGGCGGATCAGAAGAAGCAAGTCCCACAAGCAATCGAATGGGAACTCTTCACGAAGGCGATACAAGTGTTGGTGATGATTTCGGGATGAATACAGGAGGTCCTAGAGATGGCAGTGAGGATAAGAGATCTGACAGAAACCAGCCAGCACCTGCATGGACTGAACTCAAAACTAAAGCAGGAAAAGAGCGAAAACGATTGCCACTAGCTTGCACAGCATGTCGAAGGAAAAAGATTCGTTGCTCTGGAGAAAAGCCCGCCTGCAGAAATTGCACGAAATCGAAAATTCCTTGTGTATATAAGGTCACGACTAAAAAGGCGGCCCCGCGGACAGATTACATGGCAATGATTGACAAGAGGCTAAAGCGAATGGAGATTCGCATCATTAATATTTTACCAAAGGAAGAACAAAATGGCACGCTTTCAGTAATAAGAGCCAATGTTAAGCCTCCAATTCCAGGGACATTACCATCTAAAGCTTCAGCTGGAAAGAAGCGCCCTGCAGAAGAAACATTAGGACCAGAATTGGACAATTGGTCGAAGTCAACATCTAAGCGTCCGAAAGCAAACGTGAATCAAAATCAAGCTTCAAAAACCCATACACTACTGGCACAGGAGGAAGAAGAAAATAAACTCTTGGGAGAGGGCGCAGAAAAATTGCCTTCACGAGAGCTTCAAGAGCACCTGGCTGAGGTCTTCTTCGAGAGTGTTTATGGTCAGACGTACCACTTATTGCACAAGCCAAGCTTCATGATGAAGTTACAGTCAGTATTGTCCCAAATAACTAGATTCTGATACTAACGAAACTCCTAGAGCCGAAGCACTTCCTCCTGTCCTTGTATTGGCCGTTTGCGCTTGCGCTGCTCGATTCTCAAATCATGTTGAACTGGATACAGAGCCAGCTTTCCTGAGAGGGGAAGAATGGGCATCTGAAGCTCGCGACATCGTTTTGAAACGATATGATTGGCCAAATATCACGATCTTAACATGCTTATTAATTCTGGGTTTCCATGAGTTTGGCACTTGTCAGGGTGGTAGAAGTTGGTCACTGGCCGGGCAAGCAATCCGTATGGCATATGCCTTGCAACTACATAAAGACCTCGATCACGATCCCTTAAAGCCTGATAACGATGGCAAGTCGACGAAACTAAGCTTTATCGATAGGGAAATCCGACGACGAACAATGTGGGCATGTTTCCTTATGGATAGGTTTGAATCCTCTGGAACTGGTAGGCCAACTTTTATTAAGGAAGAAAATCTTGAGATTCAGTTACCTGTGAAAGAGCACATGTTTCTTTTCGACATCTCAGGACCAACAGAGAATCTTCGTGGAGAGGTTGCGCGTCCCATCACGCCTGGTGGTGGACAATTGGCCAATCCCAAACAAAATATGGGTGTAGCAGCATATGTGATCCGTTCAATTGCAATGTATTCTAACGTCATCACGTACTTTAATCAAGGTGGTAGCGAAAGGGATCCATATCCCATGTGGCACCCAGAATCGAAATATCCAGCTCTAAGTAAGCAATTGGAAGACTTTCAAGAAGCTATGCCGGAAGATATGGTATATAATAACGAAAATCTTCGTACACATGAAACCGGAGGACTAGCAAACCAGTTTATATTTCTCTACGTTGTCATTCAGCAGACTGCTTTGTTCCTCAACCGCTTTGCGGCACCTCTGGAACCTGGTGGACGCCTGGCCAAAGCCCCCAAAGAATTTGTCACTAGGTTGGGCGCAAAAGCGATGAAAGCAGCCGGTAGCATTGCAAACCTTATAGCTGATGGGCAATCTTATTCCATTACTGCCCCATTCATTGGTTACTGTGCCTTCTCGGCCAGTACAGTTCTAGTTTTTGGGGCTTTTTCGAAAAATCCCATCCTGGAAGAATCTTCCAAAAAGAACCTTACGGTTACTGTCAAATACTTAGCAAAGATGAAGAAGTATTGGGGCACGTTTCACTGGATGTCCGAAAAGCTCAAAGCGCAGTATAGAATGTGTGCTGAGAATGCTACTGCTGGCTCCAAAGGGTCATTGAATTCAGCCTTTCCCCAATACGGCGATTGGTTTGATCAATTCCCACATGGTGTCTCACAGTCTGACTTTGAAGATCCTGCTGCGGCTATCAAAAAAGAGAAGGGAGATGATGCCGTTCTTGAGCAAAAGTCCAACCTGACAACCATAGAAGATTTCGTCCAAGGTCTCCCCTCTCCAGGACAACGACCAAATCCAAAATCGGCAAAGCAAAAAGTTCGAAGATCACAATCTTCATCACAACTTGCACGACCCCCAAATATGGATACGATACAAACAATGCCTTCTAGTATGCAATCTTCGCATCTAGGAATGCAGGCCTCAATCCCTTCATCTTCGCATCCACAAATCCCAACTCGACAAGCACCTCAAAATCTTTACAACCAAAATATCATGTCCCCCACATCTCTCTACCCGCCGCCACATTTCTACAATCATCACGAACTTCTCATGCCACCACAGCAGCCACATAATATGGGTTCACAACAACTCGATAGACAGTTAGGGTTCAATAATTATGCGGGCATGGATCATTCGGCTATAAATGACAATGGTATGCATGGCAACGGTATGAACGTAACTGGTACACCAGGCCCGAGCCATAACGTGGATGGAACCGAGATGAACTGGACAGATATCGGCGGAATGGGAAATGTATACGGCATGATGGGCCTCGAAAATGGGCTCACCAACGCATGGTTTTCGCCATTCAATATGGATCCACCCGCAATTGGCATGGATAGAGGGATGAATGGTGATGATGCCTTCGGAGGTGCCGCTTATGGACGAGATTTCGAATTGAGAAATGATGAGCTGCGTACAGGGATGGGTGGTGTAAATGGACGCGGAAGTATTGGTGGGCCCTGATCGGATATTTTTGTTTATCAGTCGAGCTCGAGGTAAATAGGAAGACATTCGTATATAATCATGTGGTTGGAGTTGTGGGTTAGGAAATTTTGCTTAATGCGCTGCGAATCATAATTTTGTATATAGGTATTGGTATTGGATTGGAACATATGGTGTACTGGTTGATTGGCAGGTGTTCTCGTTTGGTGGTCGGTTGGATCGAATTGGTTGGGTTGGGTTGGGTCTATGGATTGGTTTCTTGAGGTATGCGGAAAATGGTGAAAAGGTACAATGGTTGAGGGAATGGATTCATTTTTGAAGAGCTATTCTTTTGTTGAGGGGAGTTGAGGAGTTGGGGGAGTATGGCGTAGGGAATGAATGAATGTAAATAATAGATGGGATTAATCACTTGGACTGGAACTGGATGGTATGTGTGGAAATGAATGATTGGATGGATTGGAGGGGTTGGATGGATTGGATGGGTGAGGTTGAGGAGGGGAAGTTGTTAAATAGAGGGTTGAGGTATGAGGTATGAAGAGGTATATAAGATTGGGAAAGGGGAGATGACGATTATGATGATGATGAGATGTGATGCGATGAGGAATTGAGGGGAGAGGTGGGTGAGGGGGTATACATATATTTGGGTTGAGATGGGATGGGATGGGATGGGATGGAATGGAATGTTGATAGGGATATGGATGAGATGGGATGTTGATAGGATTTATAACTATGTCTATATCGGTCTGTAAATACGAATATTTGATTTGAATTGTATGTTGATATGTTGATGTGATGTTGTAGTGGGTGATACGTTGATGAGTTGGTGTGATGATGTGACGATGTGGTGATACGTTGATATGTTGATATATTGAAATATTGTATTGGGGATAGGATGAGACGGGTTAGGATAGATAAAAGAGTATATAGAATTAAATTTAGGGTTGGAATTAACATGCTAGTAGGTTATAAATGGGCATATATATGTATAGAGGGAGTAACTTTTGCTGTAGAGAGAAAGAGAAAGAGAAAGAAGTTGGTGTAGGTAGAGTTTTATAGTGTTTGTATATAGTTAGATATATAGTGGTCTTTATAAACAAGTTCATGAATGTATGGATCTGATCACTTGTACGTATTATATGAGAGCATAGAATACCGGCGACCGGCCGGTAGTTTTGAAGTGGTCTGCTATTCATATTGATGATAAAATAGTTTGTATATAAACTTACAACTGATTTTGTGAGATTGATGAATGAATGAGAGATCTATTGGATCTTGTTTGGACCGGTTTGGGTGCAGTCTTGACGGCTTTCGCCATAGATTATTGGGAGCTTGGTAGCTTTTGGAAGGCTGTATATACTCGAGTATTTACATGATGTCTTGTTTGATTATGTATAAGTACCTAGTAGAGTAGATACTCAAGAACTCGACATACTTAACAAACAACAAGTATCGTATCTTATAATATGAAAATTGAACAACTGGTCCACAACATAGTTAGTCTTACCTAGTAGAACTTGAAGATGTGTATCTAATTATCAGATAAAAAAGTATCAGTAATATAATATATGGCAACATCGTTTAGAGATTCACCAACCAAACTATAAGAGAATTATAGATAAACCGAAGACGATATTTGATAGTGGAGTGATTGTTTGGTACCGCTGTCATCATGGAAAAATTATATGTAAAATAATAAGAATAGTAAATTACTTCCAGTATATCCTATATAATCCACAATAACACAGCTCTTTCGTCGACAAATACGACAAATTGGAAGATATAGTGTACCGGCGTCTTGGCGTAGCGGTTAGGAGTGTAGCACCGGGTCCTCTAAAAAAGTTCCATATTCGGCATGGAGTTTTTCCTCCCGCCCCCCTGAGGGGCCGGCAAGGTTTTTGTTTATTTCGGTTCCTTTTTTTTTTTTTTTTTTTGATTAATTCTTGGGGAAGGGGGAGTTTCGGAGGAGGGTTGTGATCACTGGTTGAGATTGAAGAGTGGGGAATGAGAGGCGAGGGAGGAGGGGGAACGAATGTGGATGGGATAGGTAGATGAAGTGAGAGCAGAGATGCTTAACTAAGACACAGAACCAACTAAGAATGAAGTTTATCGCTTCACCTTTTCCTCATTCGACTAATGCCAAAATACCAAGCACAGTAGTGTCACTAGTATGTCTAGCTAAGTGATTTACCTAGTATATATACTGGAATTTGGTTTGGTATGGGTTTAAAGTGTATTTTATTATGATGATTCTGATTCTGATGATTATTAGAATACGAGAAACTTGGACTGTGAAAGAAAGAAAATGAATATATCTATGTGATCAGTTTATAAAAAGAGGGGGGGGGATTTATCTATACTCGAGAATAGTATATACTATGTTATACGCTTCTGATAAGTATAAATAATAGAATATAATTGGACAGAAATAAATGAAAATGAATTAACCTATGATCTATTAGCAAAAAAGGGGGGGGAAGGGCTTATCTATACAAATCGATATCTTTCCTTAGACTAATGGGTATTAGTAGGGTCCGAGGAAGGGTAATAGAAGAGAAATTGACTTACCTCAGCGACTACATAAATAATTAGCAAAAAGGAATAAAGAAAGAATTTATCTGTTGATACAGTGTTTTTATACTTCATTCGATAGGTATGAATGTTAGAAGAGAAGAAATAAAAATAAAAAAAGTAATGAGTTTATCTAGAGTCAATTAGCGAAGGGGGCGGGGAGGGGGAGGAATGGACTTACCTGGATTCTTACTCTAATCCGATGGAGATCAGAGTTGCAAGATGGTGGAAAAAAGACGTAAAGAGAATTTACCTATATGATCGATTAATAAACAAGGAGAGGAACGACTTACTTGAGATTTGAATCCGGAAAGCAACCGTGACAGATATCGAAATATAAGGACTTGACATCAAAAGAAGAAGAAGAAACTATATATACAACTTATTAGCGAAATAAAGGAGAGGAATGACTTACTTGAGATTTGAATCCGGAAAGCAACCGTGACAGATTTCGAAATATGAGGACTTGACGTCAAATGAAGAAGAAACTATCTATACAACTTATTAGCAAAATAAAGGAGAGGAATGACTTACCTAAAAATTGATTCAGATCCCAACAAATCTCTTCACAGGCAACTGTAAAGTCTTCCACTGCCATTAAAAACATGGGTGAAATGAAGCTGTGTGGGTATGGTATGTATATCAACCTATATACACGAATATGATTAGCGAAAAGGGGAGGGAGTGAGTGACTTACTAGTATGTAGCTAGATTTTTATCTCTGATGATTGGTTATCTTATAGATGTGTCTGTGTATCGATAGGACGAATGATAGGGATACCTAAACGAGGGTTCTTATTAGCAAAAAGGGGGAGAGGGGAAGAACTTACCTAGCTAGACCTAGATTTTGTATTCGAAGGGAGCTGAAACAAGAAAAGAATAAAATAAAAACGTTTAATATCTATACTAATTAGTACTTATAATCAATCAGCCAAAATGGGAAAGAAGGAGAGAATGAACTTACCTAACTAAATAACCCAAATATCAAACACTTGAAACTTTCAAAAAACCTATAAACAAAAAGAAAAATCAAATACCTATAAAAGTCAACACACAAAACAAAGGGACAGGGAATAAAACTTACTAGAGTAACATATATTTATATTTATCTTTTTAAAAGAAAATAATCTATTGAATCTTTTCTCCAGGACCTTCAAGGTCTAAGAAAGTTTAAGAAATACAACTTGAACTTAGGAGATAGGAGATATGACAAAAGACAAAGAAGAGGAAAGTGTGGATCGACACACCATTTCTACACTATACTCAATTAGCACACACCAAATGGAAGGAAAACTTACCTTGACTTTAAGGACCTTACCCTTACCTAGACAACTATCTTTTTTTGTTTTGGTATTTTCTCCTCTTCTCCTCTTCTCCACCCCTTTTCCCCTTTCCTTTTTCCCCATTTCCTCTCCCCTTCCCCATTTTCTTTCCTCTCATCCTCTCATCCTCTCATCCCCTAATCCCTAACCTCTAACCCCCCACCCCCTAACCCCAACCCAAACACCCACCACCCCCGCCACCACCGCCGCCCCCAAAACCACACACCATTCAACCCCATACCACGCACCCTGTACATTCCCCGCATTACGCGGAGGAAACACTCCGTGATCATAGGCAAAGGATGTATATGTACTGGTACTTGTACTAGTATATCGAGAATGAGAATGAGAATAGGAACAGGAATATGAATCGGTGAATCGGTAGGCTGCAGAAGTGGGAGAGCGGGGTGTGGTTGGGCGGGGGGGAGAGGAGGAGGAGGAGGAGGAGGGGGAGGAGGGGGAGGAAGAAGGGGAGGAAGAGGATGGATGGTCGGGGCGAGGGAGAGGGAGGGGAATGGTGAGCATTGGGATGTGGCGGGGCATTTTTTTCGGTTTTGTTTTCGTTGGGGGTGGTGAGATGGGATGAGGTGAGGTGAAGTGAGGTGGGATGAAATGGGTAGTCGATTAATTGGTGATCTGATTCGAGATCTAATCTGATCTGATCTGATCCAGTCTAATGTGCTGATGAGATGAGAAAAGAAAATCTGAATCTAGACGAAACATGGGAAACCATGGAGTTAAATAATGTATCTCAAGCCACGCACAAAGAATTATTTTTTCTTTATTACTATTGTACAATCCATTGTGTGATTTCCCTCTTGAAAGAAAACAAAAACAAGACTATTGTTCCCCTCAAAGGAATCTTTATACTTATTGTTCTGTTGTCCTGTTGTATCTCTTCTTACAAAGAAGTTCAAACCTCATAAAGAAACACATTAACAATGTCCCTCCTCTTGTATCCCTTCAACAAAGAAAAACAAACCTCATCTCATCTCATCTCATCTCATAATCTCATAAAGGAAATCCCCATAACAATGCATACCCACACACAGCACACAAACCCAAAAACACTATTCCCCAAATAAAGAACACAACAAAGAGAGCAGAATTCACATCCTACTAAATAGAAAAATCAAAAGAAAACATCTCTTCTAAAATTCCAGAATCTATGCGGAATCAATGCGGAATCAACACAAAACAATGCCATTCTCACTCCACAAAGAGGGCGCGAATTCCAGAAGGAGATGGGAATTTAGATTCAGATTCAGTATAAAATATAATAGATCGAAACTTTTCAATTTTCAATTTTATATACCTATACTAAAATAGGAAAATCTAAAACAAGTAGCCAAAACTCTAAACCAGCAACAACACCAACAACAACACCAACCATGACCAACCTCCTCACCTCGGTTCTCCCCCAACCACGAACCACCATTCTCGGAAAAATCAACATCCCCTTTCCCAACGACAAGATCTCCGAATTCACCCCCTCGTCCCTCGAACTCCTAACTCAACTCCTCAGTCGAGCCCCAGGCCAACTGCCCTCCCTCCCCTGGTTCCACGACCAGAGCACTCTTCTCCACACCTTCCCGCCCTGCCTCTTACACCCCAAAAGCAGCGGCATTATTCCACGTCTTGCCGCTTCTCTATCTTCCCTAAAGTTAGGCGAGAAAAAAGCTATTTTATGTCCTGCGCATAAACCCCTCAACCCGTATCTCATCCGTGAGATATTCCTCGAGTTAACTGCTGAGTGCACTACTCGGCTCGCGCATCTCACTCCTGCTGCTACTGCTTCATCCGCCGACCTACCACTCCATATTCAAGAATTGGTAGCTCGAATGCAAAAGCTGAATAGTACCTGGATGCAACCGGATATATATCGACAAGCCTATCAAGTATCTCCCTCAACACCTCGCTACGAACGCATAGCCTCAGGCTGCGAAGCCTGTATTCTAGCCACCATCGGCGGCGATCGAACCATCGTGCGCGATCTCCTCGCGTCGATTTTGGGACGCCGAAAGAAGAATAGGGTGATGGAGGGCTGGATCGATGTAGTACGAGCATGGGGATCATGGCAGGAAGATTCCGACGCCCTGACATTGGAATGTACGAACCTCGGACGCGAAATCGGTCGATGTAGAAAACAGCGTCATGTACTGAGAAGAGCTGCGAGAAGAGCCGCGACGAGAGAACAATTGGGTGGGACAATAAACCCATTTGCGAGAAATAGCGATTCCCAAACACTTAATGGACGCGATTCACTTGAAGAAGAGCAAGACGAGAAAGGAGATGTGGAGAATGAAATTGTGGATTTTTACGCCAACATGATGTCTCAGACATCTCTTGCCTTGAATGCATCATCGTCTTCTACTCAAAATTTACATCCAGAAGAAGGTGTGCACCCCGCATTCCGCGGTACCATGATATTCACGGGCGATTTTTTCCAAAATGCTTCGCGAGCAGTGCACGAGCAAGAGAGACGTCACTCAGTTTATTCCCGCAGCGAATACAACACCTCCCAAATATCACACCACGGAGCCGCAGCACGCGCCAGCGCATATCGAAAACTCGTTGGAGACGAGGAGAACGTCGAATCAGATGAAGATGAGGAACTCGAATTCACAAATCCATTTGTCGATCTGCCAACACTGGGAAATCGACCCGCGTACCGGGGAAGCCAGTATGAGAACCCACGAGCATATCCCGCGCCTCCTTCTCCTCGAACTGTGATTAGCATACCCGAAGACAAATCCAAGCACAAGCCCGCACCACGTCATCGACGTCCTGAACCTCAAGAAAATCCTTTCGCAAGAAAGTCACATGTTGCTCACTCTGAAGGTGGTAGGCATGGTGATCGGGAGACTCGGATCAGTGATTTCATGCAATAGAGTAGAGTAGAGCAATTTGAGTGTTGAAAGAAGAGAGGGGGCTGGTCTCCTTTTCGCGATATATACTTTTCCTTTCTTGATACTATACAATATAACACATTTCCTTTATGCCCTGTCTAAGACCTTGAGTGATAATGCCCAATTTAAACCATGCCT